GAATAGGAGTGGTGAAAGAGGGCATCCTTGTCTAGTGCCAGATTTCAAAGGGAATGCTTCCAGTTTTTGCCCATTCAGTATGATATTGGCTGTTGGTTTGTCGTAAATAGCTTTTATTACTTTGAGATACATTCCATCAATACCAAGTTTATTGAGGGTTGTTAGCATAAAGGGCTGTTGAATTTTGTCGAATGCCTTCTCTGCGTCAATTGAGATAATCATGTGGTTTTTGTTTTTGGTTCTGTTTATGTGGTGAATTACGTTTATAGACTTGCGTATGTTGAACCAGCCTTACATTCCCAGGATGAATCCTACTTGATCATGATGGATAAGTTTTTGATTTGCTGTTGCAATCGGCTTGCCAATATTTTATTGAAGATTTTTGCATCTATGTTCATCATGGATATTGGCCTGAAGTTTTCTTTTCTTGTTGGGTCTCTGCAGGGTTTTGGTATCAGGATGATGTTGGTCTCATAAAATGATTTGGGAAGGATTCCCTCTTTTTGGATTATTTGGAATAGTTTTAGAAGGAATGGTAACAGCTCCTCTTTGTGTGTCTGGTAGAATTCCGCTGTGAACCCATCTGGACCTGGGCTTTTTTTGTGTGGTAGGCTCTTAATTGCTGCCTCGACTTCTGACCTTGTTATTGGTCTATTCATAGTTTCAGCTTCCTCCTGGTTTAGGCTTGGGAGGACACAGGAGTCCAGGAATTTATCCATTTCTTCCAAGGTTTACTAGTTTATGTGCATAAAGTTTTTGTAATATTCTCTGATGATGGTTTGAATTTCTGTGGAATCTTGTCATGATTTCCCCTTTATCATTTTTTATTGCATCTACTTGGTTCTTTTCTCTTTTATTTTTAATCAATCTGGCTAGTGGTCTGTCTATTTTGTTGATCTTTTCAAAAAACCAGCTCTTGGATTTATTGATTTTTTGAAGGCTTTTTGTGTCTCTATCTCCTTCAGTTCAGCTCTGATCTTAGTTATTTCTTGTCTTCTGCTAGGTTTTGAGTTTTTTTTCATCTTGCTCCTCTAGCTCTTTCAATTTTGACGATAGGGTGTCAATTTTGGATCTCTCCATTCTCCTCATATGGGCACTTATTGCTATGTATTTTCCTCTAGAGACTGCTTTAAATGTGTCCCAGAGATTCTGGCATGTTGTGTCTTCATTCTCATTGGTTTCAAAGAACTTCTTTATTTCTGCCTTCATTTCATTGTTTATCCAGTCAACATTCAGGAGCCAGTTGTTCAGTTTCCATGAAGCTGTGCGGTTCTGGGTTGGTTTCTGAATTCTGAGTTCTAACTTGATTGCACTATGTTCTGAGAGACTGTTTGTTATGATTTCAGTTGTTTTGCATTTGCTGAGCCGTGCTTTACTTCCAATTATGTGGTCAATTTTAGAGTAGGTGTGAGGTGGTGCTGAGAAGAATGTATATTCTATGGATTTGGGGTGGAGAGTTCTGTAAATGTCTATCAGGTTTGCTTGCTCCAGGTCTGAGTTCAAGCCCTGGATATCCTTGTTGATTTTCTGTCTGGTTGATCTGTCTAATATTGACAGTGGAGTGTTAAAGTCTCCCACTATTATTGTGTGGGAGTCTAAGTCTCTTTGTAAGTCATTAAGAACTTGCCTTATGTATCTGGGTGCTCCTGTATTGGGTCCATATATGTTTAGGATAGTTAGCTCTTCTTGTTGTATCAATCCTTTTACCATTATGTAATGGCCTTCTTTGTCTCTTTTGATCTTTGTTGCTTTAAAGTCCATTTTATCAGAGATGAGAATTGCAACTCCTGCTTTTTTTTGCTCTCCATTTGCTTGGTAAATCTTCCTCCATCCCTTTATTTTGAGCCTTTGTGTATCCTTGCATGTGAGATGGGTTTCCTGGATACAGCACACTGATGGGTTTTGGATTTTTATCCAATTTGCCAGTCTGTGTCTTTTGATTGGTGCATTTAGTCCATTTACATTTAGGGTTAGTATTGTTATGTGTGAATTTGATACTGCCATTTTGATGCTAGCTGGCTGTTTTGCCCGTTATTTGACGTAGATTCTTCATTATGTTGATGCTCTTTAGCATTTAGTGTGAGTTTGGAATGGCTGGTACTGGTATTTCCTTTCTATGTGTAGTGCCTCTTTCAGGAGCTCTTGTAAAGCAGGCCTGGTGGTGACAAAATCTCTGAGTACTTGCTTGTTTGCAAAGGATTTTATTTTTCCTTCACTTCTGAAGCTCAGTTTGGCTGGATATGAAATTCTGGGTTGAAAGTTCTTTTTTTTAAGCTTGTTGAATATTGGCCGTCACTCTCTTCTGGCTTGTAGTGTTTCTGCCGAGAGATCTGCTGTGAGTCTGATGGGCTTCCCTTTGTGGGTGACCCTACCTTTCTTTCTGTCTGCCCTTAGTATTTTCTCCTTTATTTCACCCATGGTGAATCTGACGATTATGTGCCTTGTGGTTGCTCTTCTTGTGGAATATCTTTGTGGTGTTCTCTGTATTTTCTGCCTTTGAGTGTTGGCCTGCCTTGCTAGGTGGGGGAAATTTTCCTGGATAATATCCTGAAGAGTATTTTTCAGCTTGTATTCATTCTCTTTGTCACATTCTGGTAAACCTATAAAACGTAGGTTAGGTCTCTTCACATAGTCCCACATTTCTTGGAGACTTTGTTCATTTCTTTTTGCACTTTTTTCTCTGATCTTGGTTCCTCGTTTTATTTCATTGAGTTGATCTTCGACTTCTGATATTCTTTTTTCTGCTTGGTCAATTCGGCTGTTGAAACTTGTGCATGCTTTGCGAAGTTCTCGTATTGTGGTTTTCAGCTCCTTCAATACATTTATATTTCTCTCTAAGTTATCCATTCTTGTTATCATTTCCTCGAATCTTTTTTCAAGGTTCTTAATTTCTTTGAATTGATTTAAAACATGTTCTTTTAGCTCTCAAAAGTTTCTCTTTATCCACCTTCTGAAGTCTAATTCCGTCATTTCGTCACAGTCATTCTCCATCCAGCTTTGTTTTCTTGCTGGTGAGGAGTTTTGGTCCTTTGTAGGAGTCGCGGTATTCTGGTTTCGGGTGTTTTCCTGCTTTATGCGCTGGTTTCTTCCCATCTTAGTGGATTTATCCACCTGTCGTCTGAGTAGTTGCTGACTTTTCGATTGGGTCTCTGAGTGGACGTCCAGATTGTTGATGATGAAGTATTTCTGTTACTTGGTTTTCCTTCTACCAGTCTAGCGCCTCCACTGTACGATTGCTGAGGTCCACTGCAGGCCCTGCTAGTCTGGGGTGCACCTATAGAGGCTGTGGAACAGTGAGGGATGCTACCAGTTTCTTTTTCTGCTATCTTTGTCCCAGAATGATGCCTGCCAAATGTCAGTCTTCTAGATATAGAGGGGTCAGGGAGCTGCTTGAGGAGACAGTCTGTACTTTATAGGAGCTCAAGTGCTGATCTGTGAGCTCTGTTGTTCTTTCAGGGCTGTTAGGCTGCTACATTTAATTCTGCTGCAGCAGAACTCATAAAATAACCTCTTTTTTTCTCAGATGCTCTGTCTCGGGGGGTTGGGGTTTACTTTATGTGTCCATTGCGCTGTCCTGCCCATCTAGGAGACAGTCTAGTCACTATTTGCCTGCCGAGGCTCCGCCCTGCTGGTGTGAGGTCTGCCCTGTTGCTGCAGGCTCTGCCCTACTGCTGCGGTCTCCACCCTGCTGCCACAGGCTATGCCCTATGGCAGAGTCTCTCTGTTGTGGTGGGTTGCCTTGGCAATGGCAGGCTGCGTCAGCAATGGGAGTGTACTTCAGTAGGGGCGGGTTCCCTCGGTAATGGCAAATGCCCATCCCCCACCGAGCTGCACTGTCCTGGGTTCAGCTGTTCCCGTAGTGAAACTCTCCACCCGGAGCGTTTGGAATTGCTGTTTTGTTTGTCCCACTGCCCTGGCCCAAACGCCGTTTCCCTGGAATCTCCTGGCCTGGCTCACTATCCAAGTCCCATTCAATCAGATGGATATGCCAATCTGCCCTCTCAAGTCTCAGATTGCCGGTTCAATAGCGCACCCGGACCAGTGCGCTTTGTGCAGAGCACTGTGCAGTGCCACTGCGCTGCAGCGCCGGCTGCCAGCTGCACCAGCCAAAACTGCTTCACTGGCGTCCCACGTCTCTTTTATACCTGGGAATTTCCTTGTTCTGTGGGCAATAAAGATCCGTCTGGAAATGTGGCCCTGACTACCCTCCGCACATTCACTGAGAGCTTCAATCCTGGGTTGTTCTCACCACGCCATCTTGAGTCGGTCTTGGGACCTCATAATTTTTAAATCATCAAAGCCCTGAGATGGCGTACAGATGCAAAGTAAAAATACTGATTTTCCTGTGTCCAGAATGCTCTCAGACGTTCCCAATCCTCCATCCTTACATCAAGATTGTCACTGAAGCTGGGTGCCATGGTGCATGCCTGTAGCCCCAGCTTCTTGGGAGGCTGAGCCAGGATGATTGCTTGAGCCCAGAAGTTCATGTACAGTCTGGGCAACATAGTAATACCCTGTCTCTACAAAAAAAAAAAAAAAAAAAGATTGTCAGCAGGGCTCCAGCCAGGTGTTCTCTGTTGGTTGAGACGTCAGTGCAGAGAGGCTGCAGGCTGTGGCACACACTGGAGGAGCTGGAGAGAACCGTGGGGGTGCTGGCCTGTAAAGGGAACACCAGCAGCTAGGAGGGACAAACCTGGAGAAGGCAAAGCAAGGCGAGAGGCAAGTTAGTCACAGGCTGACCTCCATGCGGATACAGATGACTATTGGATAAGAACAGTCATTAACACTAACATGGTTAGAGACCAGAAAGCCACATTAAAAAAAAAGGATGAAAGTATTTACTTCAGTAGAGTGATAGAATTATTTCTTAATTCAAAAATTGCTTTTATTGTGTCTATTTTTTCATTATAAAAGTAACATGCATTTATTACAAAGACTGTGAATTTAATAAGTCAGAAAACCATAAGGAAACCTTGATATTGAGTCTGTCATGTTTTCAGGCAGAAAAAACAAAGAACTTTGTCAGCTGAAGCCTAGTCATAGGAGAAGTCCTTTCCATGGCGGACATGGCCACAGGAGTGAAGGTGAGAGGCATCGGGCACCTGCCCTGCGCCAACTTATGCTTGCTTTGCATGCCAAGGAATGAAAACTATAACTGCGTGAACTCTCTCAGTCTGTGTAGTGGCACAGGTGTTGGTAAAATGGCTTACCTCAAACCCGGTCCTTGGCTTCTTCTTTAACCATTATATCATATCCTATTTTTGTTTTTAATTTGCTTTTCTTCTTTGTACAGTTTTGTTACATTTGCGTCAATCAGTTATTTTCCTTCCTCTTAATTTTATAAAAACAGTATCCTAATCCTTCGTCATTTTCTTTCTTCGCTTGAATATTATTGCTAAGATTGATCCATATTGTTGTGTGTCCCTGCATTCATTAAATTTTAAAATAAAACACCTTTTATTTTGAAATAATAAAGCTCACAGAAAGTTACAAAAATGGTACATCAGGTCACGAGAACCCTTTAGTCATGGTGACATCTTATATAGCAGTGATGCGATGTGAAATCAGGAAACCAATATTAGTACAGCACTGTTAGATAGGACAGAGACGCTGTTCAGATTTCACTCATTTTTACACGCACTCAATTGTGTGTGTGTGTGTGTATGGTTTTATGCAGTTTGACCCCATATGTAGATTCATGTAACCACTACCACAATCAAGATATAGAACTGGAGGGGTGCAGTGGCTAACGCTTGTAATCCCAGTATTTTGGGAGGCTGAAGCGGGCAGATCACCTGAGGTCAGGAGTTTGAGACCAGCCTGACCAACATGGTGAAACCTCGTGTCTACTAAAAATACAAAAATTAACCGGGTGTGGTGGTACATGCCTGTAATCCCAATTACTTGGAAGGCTGAGGCAGGGGAATCATTTGAACCCAGGAGGCAGAGCTTCCAGTGAGCCCAGATCATACCATTGCACTCCAGCCTGGGGGACAAGAGTGAGACTTCATCTCAGAAAAAAAAAATAATAAAGAAAAGAAAAGAAAAAAGATATAGAACTGTTCCATCATCAGAAAGAAACTTCCTGGTGCTACCCCTTTACAGTTTCATTTGGCTTCCACTCTACCCCTGTCTTTTGGCAACCGCTAATCTGTCCTCCATCTTTACAGTTTTGCCATTTGGGGAATGATATAACAATGGAAGAATGTTTTGACCACTGTATAATATTCCTTTGTGTGAATATACCACAGCATTTGTTCATCCACTTTCTGATGTTGTTTCCAGGATTTTGCTAATGTGAAAATGGCTGCTGTGAATACTCTTGTCCATGTCTTTGTTGAACGTGGGTAAAATCTTTCCTTAGGTATTCAACTAGGAATGGAATTACTAGTTACAGGATGAATGAATGCTTAACTTTAAAGAGTAGTGTTAATCTATTCTCCAGAGTTAGTGCATCAATTCACATTCCTACCAACAGCATGCAATTGGATTCTGTAGCTCCATATCCTCTCTCATACTTGGAATTCTTAGACTTCTCCATTTTTGACCAATTTTTATAAAATGGCATCTTATTGTCTTGAGGGAAGAAAATTATCTTGCATGCTCCAGCTTACCAAGGATGGTGAACAAAATAGCTCAGGTGGGTGTGTCTCCTGTGGCCACTCATGCTGCCCAGGCCTTCCAGCAGAGAGTCATTCATGGGGGCCTCCTTTCCCTCCCTGGATACCACTGGGTCTCAAAATAATTTCTCATATCCAAACACCCAGTCCTGCTGTCCCCAAAGAGGAAAAATTACAAGTAGAACATGAAGACAAAATGATCAGACAAGAAGCCTGGTCAATTGGCAGTGAGTCTAATATGGTGGTGATTTCAGTTTGGTATAGACATTGTCTACTGGTAGGTAGGAATTAAAAACAAAGGAATCTGTGAGTGCCATCTTGTGGTGGGTGTGTCCACCATTAGGTTTTTACCAGGAAGACTAGGCTTTCCATTATTTCAGCCAGGCGTGATCTCTTCCCTCTTGGATGGGTTGCCTGTGGCTTTCAGAGAGAGCAGTCAGCTGAGATGCAACAGGTAGATTCCCTCTCAGAAATACAGAGGATCCTGGTCCAGACTCCTATGATCCCAGTTTGTGCTTTTACCATACTGCACCCCTTCCTCACCCTGCCACCTACCTTCTCTTTAGCGGGCCTCTGTGGATTGTGACCATAGGGATAGCTCCACGGGTGGTGGCAGCTCTCTGGGTAGGGTACCCTCTCCTCTGGTTTCCAGGGTCTTGTCCTGAGCTTAGTCCTTGGAGTTGCAGAGGGAATGTCGGAATGAATGAGGGAAGGGGCAGCCTGTGACTTAAAGCAGACTTAAGAAGCATTTTAACCAATTGTAATGTGTATATTATATTTACATCTTGGTTCAAACAACAAACTATTTGTAAAAAAAAAATTGTGCGTCAGTTGGGGAAGTCTGAACATTGGACATTTGATGATATTAGAGAATGATTATTATATTTTTAGGTGGGATAATGGTTTTAGGGCTATGTTTTAAAAAAGAATCTGTATCTTTTACATATGTATTGGAAATATTCAGGGAATACCTAATATGACATCAGGGATAAATGTCAGGATAGCCTGGAGCGTAGGAAGGGAAAGTACATGGGGGTGGCTGGAGGGAGGGAGATGAAGAAAAATGGGCCATGAGCTGGCCATCTTTGAGTTCATTATATACTTCTATTTTGTTTGATTTTTTCCATAATACATTTTTTTGGAAAACTTCTGAGTATCCTAGAAGGAAATTGGCATGGACTTAAAGAAAAAGGTGTTTGAAATACTTCTGTGGTCACTCCACTCTCCTGCTTAAAACCTCTTTTTTCCCATTATGCTTTAGAAACATCCTCTAATCCTTGATGTTGCCTATGGGTCCTAGCAAGTGTGGCCCTGGTCATGTCTGTTCCACTTTCCTCTTCTTCTGGTTTCTTTTACCCCCCTTTGGACCACTTGCTACCCGCCCTAGCTTGGTCTTTCTCCTCCTTCACCTAGCTGACCCCTATTTATTCTTCATGTCCCAGCTAAAGTATCCTTCCCACAGGGATGCCCCTCTCAACCCTGCAATTGAGTCCCATCCACTCGCTGTCACCTGTCTTTGCTTTTTATAGTTTTCTGCCATAACCTGTACCCATCGTGAATCTATGTATTTATTCATGGAATTACTTTATTTCTCTTACTACCACTAGAGGAAAAACTCCTTGAAAACTATAACCTTTACATTCTTGGTACTCATAATAAGTGTCAATACTTGAGTATTAAATATATACATAAAAACAAAACAATATGGTGGTTTCTCAAAAAGTGGGACATAAAAATTACTGTATAGCCCAGCATTCCACTAACTGGATACACACTCCAAAGAATTGAAAGTAGGGACTGAAATAAATACTTGTGTACCAATGTTCATTGCAGCATGATTCACAATAGCTAAAAGCTGGAAACAAATCACATTTCTGTCAACAGAGGAGTGGACAAACAAAATGTGATATATATACACAATGGAATATTGTGTAGCCATAAAAAAGAATGAAGTTCAGACACATACCACAAAGTGGATGAACCTTGAAGCCATTACATTAAATAAGCCAGACATAAAAGGACAAATATTATATGAGTCTGCTTATATAAAATATCTAGAATAGAAACATTCATAAAGACAGAAGGTAGATTAGAGATAACCAGAGGTGGGAGGGAGGGGAGAATGGGAGTTGTTGCTTAGTAGGTACAGAGTCTTTGTTTGCGACAATGAAAATGTTTTGGAAACATTTGTGATGGTTGTACAACATTGTGGCTGTACTTAATGCCACTGAATTGTACACTTAAAAGTGGCTAAAATGGCAAACTTTATACTATATATATTTTGCCACAAATAAAAATAACAATAAAAAATATTATTAACCCTGCTGCCCCACATATCAGTAATTGTAGGAGATTTTTTTCTTTTTTTTTCCTGGAGCTTGGAAACCCTAGACAATTAGAGGAAACTATAGATTGTGCAGCCCCCAGAAGGACTGTGGCTGTCTTTTCTACTGGTGATGGAGGAGATGCCAGGAGAACATGTGCTGTGCTGGAAACAGATCCTGTGAGCTCTGGGTCAGTCAGGGGTTCCCCAGATGCCACTGACAGCTCAAGAGCCACTGTCTTTCACAGGAGCTGGCTGTCAATCTGAGGAAGCGGTGTCAGCATCAATTTATCAAAATCAGCTATGCCCTGCATGTTCAAGCCCCTTTTCTCTCTCACTCTTGGTCTTTTTATCCAGTGGCTTTGCATTTCCCTAAGTACTTTGGACAAACTCATTTGTACTCACATAGTCAAGTGCTGGCAGGACTGGGGGCTGGCTCCAAGAGTGGCTCACAGTGACCGGGGTGAGCACACTAGCAAGGTACCAGGGAAAAAGATTGTCTTTATTGGTGCTTTGAATCCCCACTGTAGCTTGTGAGCCAGCCCAGTTTCCTGCCAAAAACATGGATGCACCCTGGAAGGACTCTAACTAAGGCTGAAAGAAACCAGTCATGCCTCTTTTCCTGCTTCTCTATGGCTGTCTATTCCCTTATTTGAATCATCCTACTCTCTGTCTTAGCTGCTTGGACTGCCACAACAAAATACCATGGGCTGGATGGCTCAAACAGCAGAAATTTATTTTCCCACCTTTCTGGAGGCCGTAAAGTCTAAGATCGGGGTGCCAGCTTGGTCAGGTTCTGGTAAGGGCTCTTTTCCTGGCTTGCAGACAGCCACCTTCTCATTGTGTCCTCACTGGTGGAGAGAGGTGCTGGTCTTTCTTCCTCTTCTTTAAGGGCACTAATCCCATTGTGGGAGTCCTGCCCTCATGAGCTCATCTAACCTTGACCATTGCCCAAAGTTTCCATCTCCAAATACCATCACATTAGGGTTAGGTCCTCAACATATGAATTTTGTGGGGGAAAAAATTCAGTCAATTTCTGGGGTCCCACCGTCTAAAAAAACACTTCCAGTTTTCTATTTGTGGAAATTTGCTCTTGGAATTAGGAGATCCTGAATACACTTGAAGTCTCTTTAGCAGACCCTTGTTGGGCTTTTGTATAGGAATGGCCTGGCCTATTGCAGCCAGGAAGCCAGCTGGCTTCCTGCCCATGGGATAGACCTCACTGGTCCATCCTGGTAGGGGGACACTCTGTAAAGATGGCATTGCTAATGCCCATTCATAGGCTATGTGTAGATTTAGGTCAGTAATGCCTACAAGGATCCCCATGCCAAGCCTGGCTGGTAGCAGAGGCTTCATAAGTGGTGGGGACTGTAACCTCCTTGGACGTGGCTGGGGACCCAGCCCCACAGTCTTCCAGGTAGTAGCTCCATTAGTGTGTTGAGGTGCAACTAGCCTGCCTTCCCAGCTCTAACCCACCAGATTTCCCTTCCATTTCAGGACGTCTCCTTTTACTCTTTATTCAGAAGCTAAGAAGCCCTGCCGTAGTTCCATCCTTTAGCCCCTGTGAGCTATCCTGGCTGCACCTCCCAGCCCTCAGCTAGCTTGCACTGCAGCCTCTGGAGGCTGCTGCCAGCCCTCAATGGGCATGTTGTGACCATTACCTCGTATGCTCCATGTCACAGCTGTCCTTTTTCTTCCCTTGACAAGTGAGAAAGGAGAGAGGGGCTTTCTCAAACAAGGTGGGTGCATGTTTGAAATTGGAGTCTTCATTAGGTGTCTTCCCACCAACTCTACATTTTCTCTCTTACCATGGATCTTCACAGTCTCTCAGAGCAAATGGTCCTCTCTGTGTCCTGTTCCCTGAGGTCTGCTGGGGGCAGGATGCTGGGTAGTCTGACAGGAGTGCCACAAGTGTTCTCTAAGAGGACACTTGTGACACTCCTATGTGATGGGTTGATGCCTACCTTACATCAGCCTCAGTATTTCTGTTTTAAGAAGTCCATCCCCTCCTTCTTGCCCCTCCCAGCCCCTCGTCCAAGCAGTTCCACTGCAATCAATAGGTCCTCATCCTCCTGAAAACTCGGGTTACAGACCCAGGTGTCTTCCAGAGTCCTCTCTTTCCTTCTTCCCCCAAATCCATTCCACCAGCTCTGCCTCCAGAATGTACCTCGAATCCCTCTACTTCCCCACTTCCCTGTCTGTCTCCTTTCTGGCCTGTGGGCTGGAGCTCATGCTTCTCCCAGGAGGCACCTGCCGAAAGTGTGTCAGGCCAGGAAGCCCTCCACTTCCAATCCCCAGGATCTCCACCTGCATTTGGCCTGGCTTGGTTGCATTACCTCCCATTCAGAGGATATGGATTTTGTGGGAAACGAACCCCATACTTTACCTGACTATGTGGATTGAGGTCATGCAGATGCTTCCTCTGTCAACTGCTGTAGTTTCCTGCAAGCTTACAGGTTCACTTCCACAGCCCAGTGTGCCAAGACACTTCATGCATAGGGCTTTCAAAATGTGGATAAAACACTCTAGGTTTTTTTTTCCTCTTCCTAAAGAGGATGAAAGGATTTAAAACCTAGAAAAGGCATATACTGTCAAGAATGTATCAGGCACCAGCCAAAGAGATTTAGAGGCAGAAAACCTAACTTGTTTTAGTTTTAGAAAAATAGTTTTTAAAATTTAACTCCCAAGATAACAGTTTAGAGAAAAACGCGTACCATTTGGGTCGCTTCCATTTCCCTGTTGGAATTAGCAATGCAATTTGCGGTGCCCACAATGATTCTGTAGAGAAGTGATCTGAGACATCAGGGTGTGAATCATCTTCCCAGGATAATTTATGATTCTCCAAATGAAAAGCACTTCACATATCAGATGTGACTAGTGAAATGCATCTGTCCTGATGCCAGAGCATGTTAGCTGGTCTGAGCTGCTAGAATTGATCAAGTACCATTTCACAAAGTTAATACCAGGTCATTCATACACGTGGGGCATGAACAGAGAGCTCATCTAGATGCAGTGGCCTCAGGACAAAAAAAATCCACTCTAAACTTTTTTGCCTGAGCAAAAAAAGGCACTTATTGGCCGCTGTAATTCAAGAGTTTAGGGTGTAGCAGGCTTCGGGTCTGGGTGGGCAGGACCTGGTCTCTCCCATCTCTCTACTCTGCCTCCTCTCCCCCACCTGGTCCTCAAACTTTGGCTTCATTCACCAGCTCATGGCTATATGACTCTAGGCTTCCATCCTCCAGATTCCACAGCATCACAAAAGAGGCCTTTTCTTTCACAATAGCTCAGCCTTGTGTCCTGGCTTGCACTCTCAGATCACGAATCCATCCTGAGAGCCATTGGCAGGCCAGTCCTGGGCTCCCAACTCATCCTAAAGCTGGGGGTGCTGTCACCATCACCCACAAACCACTTGGACAGACTGTAGGGGAGGAGGGCTCCCCAGATGAAGATTAGGGTTGTATAGCTAGGACAGGAAAGGAACTCTGATCTGCAGACACAGCCAGTGTCCCTATGTTCAGGTTCTTCTGTCTTTACAGTCAGTCACCCTGCTCCTTCCAAATGGCCCTGCTCAAGCCACTCTGCCTCTTCCTATTTCTTCTCCTTCTCCTTCTCATTCTCATCCTCTTTCTCTTCCTCCTCCTCTTTGTCAGGGACACTTTTTCAGGGTTCACAAAAGACCAGGCAGGCTGGGCATGGTGGCTCATGCCTGTAATCCCAGCCCTTCAGGAGGCCGAGGTGGGAGGATTTTTTTGAGCTCAGTAGTGTGAGACCAGACTGGGCAACATAGCAAGACTTCGTCTCTACTAAAAATAATAAAAAAGATAGCCAGGTGCGGTAGTGTATGCCTGTAGTCCTTAGTCCCAGCTGCTCAGGAGGCTGAGGCAGGAGGATCGCTTGAGCCTGGGAGTTTAACAATGCTATGTGAGCTATGTTCATGCCACTGCCTTCCAGCCTGGGTGAAAAAGTGAAACCCTGTCTCTTAAAAAAAAACAAACTAAAAACCCACAAAAGACCAAGCAAAGGGCTTGGTGGTTGACTCACTGAATCCTCGTGGCCACTATAGGAAGCACTATTAGGCATTAGGCAGCTTGGGTTTCAGCCTCAGTCCTTCCCACTTTCTGAGGGTGTGGCCTTGGGTAAGACACTTTCCCTCCATGAATCCCAGTTTCTAGAATTAAATTGTGATGATGATGATTTATCTCCAGGGTTGTTGTGAGAGTCAACAAGCTTGCATGTGTGTAGCTCAGTAAGCAAGTGCTCTCACCATTCATTTATCAGATGAGGAAGCCGAGGCTACTATGTCTTTGTCCAAGATCCTCCAGCCAGTGGGTAGCTGACCTGGTATTAGAACCCAGGGCGCTCCTCCCAAGCTGCATGCCTGCTCGTTTTGCAGCATCACCTCTTCCATTCTGCCTTCCTGAAAGGAAACACTGTTTCTCATAGCAGGACTCACCTCTGCAGACAGGGGTCAGCGTCGCGGGTCATTGCACATGCACTGGTTACATGTCTTCCCTCACAGGGCTAGGTCCTGAGCAGACAAAGCAGAATCATTCTGTGTTTCAGAGCATTCACTTGTTGAGGGGATCTGGGAGGCCTGAGGATAGAGGACTGACTTTCTGTGGACTTGGGAGGGCCTCTCCAGGAGAGTGACTCATGAGCCACATCTGCAGAGAGAAACTGGAGCTCACCAGGCAGTGAAGAGGAAGGGCAAAGAAGCATGCCACTTGCAGGGCTTACGTAAAGCACAGGGAGCTGAATAGCTGCTCCTGAGGAGTTGGGCCATGGATTTAATTTTCTTTAGATGGTTGACTGTTGCTAATGATGGTTTTTATTGTCCTTGTTTCCAGTGTGGAATAATTTATTGGCTATTTGGTGGTGCTATCAGGAATCTCAGCAGCCCTGAACATGTTACTAAGTGGTTTCAGCAACTCCAGGTATGATGTTTTCCTCAATATTGGTCTTCTATGGAGAGCCTTAAAAATATGTAGTAGATAGATATGCGTATGTATGTGTTTGAAGAAAAACAAAATAGAACAGAATTTGTGTCATCAAAAATCTTGTGGAGAATGCAAATCCCGAGACTACCTTTTTTATATTGCATTGAGCCTGTCATGTTGTTAAACTCACATTCACTATCATCAGACTGTGTTTTAATAATTTTCTCCAACCCACCTCTCTCTCTCTCACCATCTTTCTTAATGGTCTGGGAGGTCTGCATTTGGAGCAACTGTCAGACCAGCTAATTCCCTTCTAACATCTGGTAAACTACAGGAGCAGAAATACACTGGGATGTTTGCAATGACCGAGAGGGGCCATGGGAGCAATGTGAGAGGGATCCAGACCGAAGCCTCCTTTGACCTCTCTGCCAGGTGAGGAATCTGTCCTTCTCCTGTCGTCCAGGGCAGCAGAAAACCTGAACAGACCCAGATCTCCTTCTTTCTGTATTCAGCTTCACACTCTCTGTGTGTGCTTTCTGGCCAAGGGAGCTGAGATTCAGAGTAAATGTCTATGTGTTTTAATAGAGGTGGATATGTGCTCAGCCATCATGAACCCAACACCAGCCAACATTTATATGGTATGTTTGAGGCACTGGGCACTGCTCTGACACTTTATGTTCACTTGTGAATGTAATCCCCTGTCATAACTCTGAGAGAACACTAAAGCCATTTGGTCAGCCTTTCCTAACAGTAGCAGGAAAGGACTGGAGGAGAAGCCTTTGTTAGTTCTCTCCACTGTGCCATGTGTCAGGAGGGCGCTGACTGTGCTGGGGCTGCCTTAGCCGGAGCTGAGTTATCTGTGCTGGGATCATGTGTTGTCCCTCACCTTGACCTGCACTGACATTTTACATGGCAACAGAAACAAGAGTGACACCAAACAGTCTGACTGTTCTACCTTTATTATGTGTGGTCAGTGCTAATGTTTTTTTCTTTTCATTCTCTTCTTTTCCCTTTCTTTTTCTTTTCTTTGTTTTTCTTCCTTTCCCTTCCCTTCTTGATAATTAAAAAGATGTTAACTAAGTCTCTCTACGTTGCAATCTCTGTCCATAGTGGATCACAACGTACCGTGGGGACGCTGCTCTGTAACCCTCATGCCCATCTCTTTAACTCCTACAGCCACCTCCCGCCCCACCACCAACCGTGGAAAAAGAAAGCACCTGTGTACTTATCTCACTCTTCTTTATAGTTTCTTGCTTAATATTGGGTGTTCCTAAGAGTTGCAAAGGGATAAATACATGTTGAGTTTCTTTCTAGAAATGAGGCTGTGTCAGTCTGTGTGTGCAAGCACATGCCTGAGCATGGCTGCAGGTGCTGCCTGGCTATGCGGCTGCTCTGCTCCATCTATTCTTTGTTTTTGCAGTTTGTCCTGGAGTGTGTGGATTTTTGTTAGCAGTTTCCTGACTCACGAATGCTGGTTGGAGGTGGCCAGTGTCTGGAAACACAGATTCAGGGGCAGGGTATACTGGAGGATGCCGTTCTTTTCCTCCTGCTCTGATGTTAGTTCTCTCCAAAAGCCATGATGTCCAAGATCATAGTAAGAACAAGAATAAGCACTGCCCTACACTGACCACTCATGAAGCACCATGCTGTGTATGAAACTCCCTCTGTGTAGTATTCTGTTTTCTTGCAGCAGCAGTCCCAGAAACGCAACATTAAACTGATCCTATTAACTGAGCATGGATATGCCAGGCACCAGGCTAAGCAGTCCATTTGTAACATCATTTCCAATGTTCTGTAATCTTATAAAAAGGTATTATTGTACCTGCTTTACAGATGGGGAAACGGAGGCTCACAGAGGTTAGGCAGCCGACTCTGGCTATGCAGTTAATGAGTAAGTTAGGTTCGGGTGGGACTGCCCTCAGCAGCCTGGCTTTTCTGCCAGTGGTGGCATGCTGCCCTAACATCCTTTGGCTTTTGGTTGGCCAATTTTTTTCCCTCTCCGTAAGCCATGGTATTGAGGTCACCTTGCTGTCATTGATGGGGGAAAACACCCACTGCTCTTATTTATTTGTTTCTTTTTACAATTATTGCTTTTTTCACAAAAATAATTCCTGTGTTGGTCCCATTTTCCCCAAACAGCATAAATGACTTAGCTACCTGGTGTGCCTCAGCAGCTGCCACTGTCTGACAGGGGACCTGTAAAGTCACAATCATAATGATGAGGGGCCTCTGGTGAACACTGTCTCCCATGGGGAGAACAATCCCATCATAAACTCATGCCACCGAGAACTGACGTAGCAGGGAATGGATTTCTCCCTTCATTGGGTTCTGTGTTTCCCCTTCATTTCCCTTTCAAAATGCTGGAGTGTATTAAATAAGTGTTCTCTCCCCCAAGGATCATTTAAACCTCTTACACATTTTGGTTTTTCATTCCTGTGGGTTGGTTGTTTTACATTTATTTTTGGGAGGTAGATTGGGAGTAATATGGGTAGTTTAGACATAAGAGACAGTTTTATTTTTATGCTTTATTCTAATAGCCTAAGTAAATGAGGTTATGAACTCTCTGGCCAAAGGCATCATTTTCAGTGCCTACAACACTGACCATTTTGCTGGGCTTCAACAAATAATTACTACAGAAACTGACACACATGGTGTGCATTGTTTAGATGCAGCTTTAACACCAGGGTTTTGGCTGATGCAAACTTTCCAAAGCAAGCTTTGCCAGAAATGACAAATCTCCTTTCCCAGGGTGTAGCAGATGTTTATAGGGATGAGTGGCCTCTTGCTCCCTTTCCCATCCCACCACATCTTTTCTGCCAGGCCAGTGTTTCCTCTGCCACTTTCCTTTCTTACCCTGTGTGTAAGCATGCCCCCACCCACATGGGTTGTATTTTTGTTACTGTTAATTTTCACTGCACTCAGCCTCAAGTAATGCCTCTCCTTGAGAAGCCCTGGCTGCCCTGATAAGACAAGGATGGCCTCCAGAGACTTCTCTTAAAAAGATTCAGCAAGTCCATTTATGTTTCTGAAAGGCCCTTGCACTGTTAAAAGTTTCCCTGTGCAAACATATTTCAGAGAATGTTCTCTTAGGCTTCAAGACTGTATTTCTTGGCCAGCGGGAAAGTGTTGTCTATATACTCTATAGTCTGAAATCTGAGATAATCTTTGCATGACCAATAACTTGTTGATTTAGTTCAGTCACATCTTCAATATTGTCAGCTCCAATTAAATGTGCAGTTCCACTGTCTACCATTTCCTCTGGGCTCCCAAATTGCCCCAGGTGCCCTGTATTCAGAGCTGGCAGCAGGGCCAGTTCCTTTTTAAGCAAGAGGCTTAAAGGTAACCCAGGTGGCAAGGGAGATTGGGAAGAGCCAAGAAGTGAGGGGGAGCATTTCCACTGTGACCTTTGTATCGGCTTCCAGAGTATAGGAAAGAGAAGACCGAGTTTTGAGCCAAGCCCAAGAACAAAACCCTTGCATTTTCTTCCTGCTTCTTTATGACCAGTGTTAGTTTCAGACTGTTTTGAGCTGGAATTCTTGGACATATTCAGAGACAAACTGCATGGTACATTCTAAAATTTTTCCCTCCTAAGAAAGAGATTCATTTACAAGTTCTTCTGTTTTAGGAGGTTGAACATGTGAACCTCTTTTGGGAAACTTTAATTATGATATACTTTGTCAGGAAAATAGAGAGGCATTTTCAAAGGAGTAAATGAGGGATTTCTTATTATAAAAATAAAAATTGTTTGGGCAGATACTCTAAGCAGTGGTGGGACTAAGTCATGGCTGTCTATCAGTTTTGCTGTATCCAACCATACAGTTTTGGCCTTTGATTACTTGCTTTTCATTTAAACAAATACCCATGTCATGGAGGCCCGAAGGTTCAGAGCCTGGGAAAGAGTGAGGAGACAAGTGATTTGCCCAGAAGAAGTGAACACCAGTAGACAAAATGCAACTCACAGATGTGGACCCTGGGACAAGCCATCTAAGGGCCCAGATCATTGGATGTTCCATCCTTTCTTAGAAATCTTGCAGGTCGGGTGAGGGGTGTGGAGAGCTGAGCATAGACCACCAGGGCTTTCTGAGGTTTTGGTGTTAGATGACTTAAAGGTCAAAATTTTGCTATGAAGAAGTCTAGAGAGATAATTGAAGGAAGACTGGGTTGTATTTTTGTTACTGTTAATTAAAGCCAGGCAGGCTCAGCCAAATAGCACACATGTCAGCCCAGTATTATAAAAAGGTATTATAAAGAAGAGAGACTGGGAGGGAGAGAACAAACACCTTTTAAAGATTGAAAATTGGCAACTTATTTTCTGGATTGAATTGTTCCTTGAAAAATCACTTTAATCTCCAGCCATTTTCAAAGTTGCAGTGGAGGTGAAATAAGTGAATTGAGGTGATAGCACAGTCAGCCACATTGGTTTCAAGACCTGGAGCCAGGTGACCTTCCCGTCGTCTTCTCTTTTACTGTGAAATTCCCTGAAAATGGCACCCTGGATGGTGTGGGTCTGTTTTCATAGTATTCATTGCCTTGAGCCAGAGAGTTGAAATGATCCATGGGAAAGGAAACACTGTTGCTCTGCTGTTTCTGTGTGGGAGACTGTAATTGACAGGGTGTGAAGATGCTGAGATGTATATTGGAAACGCCATGTGTGGAAATTATGCAGCTGTCTTTGCCCAGCTCACCATAGATGGAAGATCTTAAGATTTGTCACTAACATAGACAACTAGAATAATTATCTTCACTAGTACTATTTACCAGTGAAAACCCATTTCACAGAGTTGCTTTTGTCTTGTAAATAATTCAGTACTCACTTTATCTCCTGAATATGCATGAAGAAATTTATCTGACACTATACGCTCTCGTGTGGTGCACAGTTGTAGAACCCAGTGAGTTTGAGGATCACAGAAATTTTATACCATTCCAGGAAATGAGTAAAGCTATAGGAAGGAGAGCTTAATAATGTTCTCTGTGTCTTCCTTAGGGCCCCACTGTTTCATCATTCCTGCCCGTGATGAAAATGGAAGCTTGTACCCAGGAGTGACAGCTACTGATATGACATACAAGGAGGGTGAGTTCCCAGGTGACCCCTCTCCTGTGCTTACTCTTCCTACCTGCTTCCCACCCTACTCAAGGAGACTCTGACCTACCTTATATCACTGAAACAGTGAGCATGGAGAAAACTTCCCCAGGGAAGATGTCTGGATTTTGAAGCTTCAAGAAGTCTTTTATGTAGAACTATTCAGGAATGTTGCAGATTGCCTTTTATGAATGTGCATTGGTCTAATTTCCCCCCCAGCTTCTCAAATTTCCCAGTAACGAGGCAGTTTTGCCCACAACGCTGTTCAATCTTCTCTTTCCTTAGACTTGGGGGCTCTCAGACGGGTGGCTGCAGCTCTCTTCTTTGCACCCCTGGCCACCTATTTTAGGAGCTTGAACATACATGCTTATGAGGCCCTTGATGAGTCCTGATGACTAATTCAGTGCCTTAGTTTGCTAGGGCTGCCGTACCATTAACTCAGGGGCTTAAACAATAGAAGTGTATTGTCTCACAGTTCGGGAGGCTGGAAGCCCTAGATGAAGGTATCAGCAGGATTGGTTCTTTCTAAGAGTGGTGAGGGAAGGATTTGTTCCAGGACTCTCTATTCGGCTTGTAAATGTTTGTCTTCATGTTAACCTGGTGTTCTCCCTCTGTGCATTTCTGTCTCCAAATCGGCCCATCTTACAAAAGACAGAAGTCATTTAGATTAGAGCCCACCTCAATGACCTCATTTTAATTTGACCACATCTGTAAAGACTCTATCTTTAAATAAGGTCATATACACAGGTATAAGGGTTAGGTTTTCAACACATGCATTTTGTGGGGACACAATCTTACCCATAGTGCTTGATGAGATCAGGACGTGCCTGTATGCTCCAATCACTACTCATAGCCAAGGTCAAGCCAAGCCAAGGAAGGGAGTCTGAGAGAGAAGAAAAAAAAAAGAGAAAGAAGAGCAGGAAGAGAAGAGGGAAGAAGTGGCCCATTCTTTGGTGGAAGGGACAGTCCCATCCTGGCCCTTAGTGTTTACTGCCCACTGCCACAGCTGCAGGCATGGCTTCAGGTGGGTTTGTGAGGGTTTTAGATGTATCTTTCAGGGGTGACCAAGGCTCTGGCTGGGCTGGGCTCCTTAAAAGTGCCTTGCATATCAAACGTTGCTGAGAGCAGAGCAGTAGGTGGAGCCCTGTGAAGTTGTGCTAGACGTTGAAAACACTGGCAACAGCAGAAAGTCTCTGGTGTCCTTGTAAGCTGCTAAATGCAAGTATGTCCTTGTCAAGGGGTGACGTTCTAAATAAAGACATTTACTAAAGACAGATTGTTTTCCCCTAGATTCGATCTTTGTAAGTTTTCACAAACAAAGAGAGACCCCAGACTCTGGCAGGAGTCTTTAGGAAATGTGTCTGCCAGATTTCAGGACCACCCCTCTCCCCTCCCTGCCCCGCATCGCTTCCCCCACTTCCTGTTGTCCTTGTGGCTATTTTCCCTTGTCTTGTAGGCATTTGCTGTCACCAGTTTGCCCTGTGTGCAGATGAGAGAACAGTGGGAGGGAGGAGGGATTTGGGCACTTGTTCCCCATTCCTGGGGAGAGCAAGCCTGCTTCCCTGCTTCTGTTTTCAGCTTCCCATTCTTTTTTTTTAGACGGAGTTTCGCTCTTGTTACCCAGGCTGGAGTGCGATGGCGTGATCTTGGCTTACCGCAACATCCGCCTCCTGGGTTCAGGCAATTCTCCTGCCTCAGCCTCCTGAGTAGCTGGGATTACAGGCACATGCTACCATGTCCAGCTAATTTTTTGTATTTTTAGTAGAGATGGGGTTTCACCATGTTGACCTGGATGGTCTCGATCTGTTGACCTCGTGATCCACCCGCCTCGGCCTCCCAAAGTGCAGCTTCCCATTCTTTCAGTTGCTTGCAACTCTCCTTTTCTTAATCACAGTCACTGCTTGGGAGGTAGGTGTGTATCCTCCATATCCCCAAAGCACGCAGGGTGCACAGAAAAGCCCATTCTCCATTTTCCTCATTCTTTCTAGAGAGGAAGGGGCCAGGCTGGTGGAAGAAACAGGCAGAGCTCATCAAGGAAACAACATCCCCATGCCCACCCAAAAGGAAAAAGCACCAACAATTCTGAAAGTAAAATAAAGGACTTTGTATTTTAGTGGAGACAGATGTGGGAAGTAGTAGGGAAAATACTTCTGATGCTGCATAGATTCCTCTTTTCTATTCTTTCCAGGTCTGCATGGTGTGGACAATGGGATTTTAATATTTCACCAGGTTCGGATATCCAGGGAGAATCTGCTGGATAAGTGAGTAGTTTCGCCTTAACTCAGGTCTATGGTGCAGATGATCTCACTGCTCTCCAAAGTTGGCTTGGTTCTTGGGTCTCATGGGCTGCATGTTTGGGCTGTTTACCCATAACCACCCTTACAGGTTTGTTGACAACTAATTGGAAAAGATAGATCTGCAGATAGAAAAAAATGTAAAATTATTCAACATGCTATTGTCCAGACATAATGACTGTTACACTTTACTATACATCTTCCCAGACTTTTCTTTATGCCCATAAGTCTAAAGAGATGTCAGATTTTTACTAAACAAGATCCACTTCTGGATTCTATTTGTAAAATAATGCATAATTTTCATTTAACATTATATAGCAAATGCTTTTATCTAACGCTAAGAGCACCCAATGCATTCTTATCTTTAGTACCACTACGATAGACTGTTAAATAAATGCTTTACAAGTTATATAATCAATTTCTTATTGTTGGGAATTTAGTTTTTTTTCTTTTTTTTCTGCCAATTATAAACAGATGGGTGCTATTGCTTCCTTTGTGAGTGGTAGGGGATAAGGCACTATCAGCTTCCAGGTGTATCCTGGAAGTAGAGCTCTAGGAGTTAATTTCTTTACAGAACGTTCTTTACAGAAGGTAAGAAACACTTAGTACCTTTAATTTTCTCAGCAGCATTTCAAACATCCAATAAAAATCCTAAGCCATAGTCATGTTAAATCGGCGACAAAGCCAGCAATCAGGGTGCACACAACTAGCTGTCTTCCTGCCTCCCTGTGGATTTTCCTTGACTGCTTTACTCTTTTTTCTTACCAGTAGATAAATGTTGCAGTGGGTGCCAAAAGCTTAAGAAAATTGTGTGGGAAAAAGTCTTAAAATGATTGGTACAACAAACCCCCATGACACAAGTTTACCTGTGTAACAAACCTGTACTTGTACCCCTGAACTTAAAAGTTACAAAATTGGAGGATAAAGAAGTAGAGGATAGAATAGTGGTTACCATAGGCTGGGGAAGGTAGGAAGGAATAGGGCACAGGGAGAGGTTGGTCAATGGATACTGTTATAGTTGGATTGAAGAAGTAAGTTCTGGTGTGATACTGGACAGGTGATATAGTTAACCATGATGAGTTGTACTTTTCAAAATAGTTACGAGTTTTCAATGTCCTCATTTCAAGAAAAAATCAATGTTTCAGATGATGAATATGCCAATTATCCTGATTTTATTATTATACAATATATACATGTATCAAAACATCACACTGTACTCCATCATGTATAATTATTATATGTCAATTAAAAACAAAATAAAGCAAAAAGAAAAAAAAAAACAATATTTTTAGTTTAATGGGGAAAGAATAGTCTTTTCGACAAATGGTGCTTGGACAAACTAGATAGCCATGTGCAAAAGCATGAAGTTGGACCTTTACTTCATGCCATTTACAAAAATCAACTCAAAATGGATTATAGACCTAAATGTAAGAGCTAAAACTACACAACGCTTAGAATAAAATACAGATGTAAATATTTGTGACCTTGGTTTAAGCAATTTAGTTAACCAAATTCTGCTTAACATTTTCTTCCTGTGAATTGATAGGAAATAAAATGGAAGCAACAAAAGCATCTTCACAGTTACCCTGGTGAGTGCTAACGCCCCCCAGTTCCCCTCAGGACCACCAGCATTTATATGGAAATGCAAGAAACTCAGAATAGCCAAAACAATCTTGATAAAGAAGAACAAAGTAGGAGGACTCACACCTGTGATTTGAAAACTTACTACACAGTGATCAAGACAGTGTTATATTTGCATAAGGATAGATGTATGGACATTGGAATACAATGAAGAGTCTAAAAATAAATTCTTACAATTACTGCCAATTAATATTCCGCTGCAAAGCCAAGACAATTCAATGGGGAAAGAATAGTCTTTTCCACAAATAGTGCTGGGACAAACTAGATAGCCATGTGCAAAAGCATAAATCTGCACCTTTACTTCATACCATATACAGAAATCAACTAAAAATGGATCACAGACCTAAATGTAAGAGCTTAGAAGAAAACACAGGTATAAATTTTTGTGACCTTGGTTTAAACAATCTATTACACGTGGCACCAAAAGCACAACTAACCAAGTTAAAAATAAATTGGACGTCATCAAAGTTATAAAAAACTTTTTTGCATTAAAGAACACTGAATAAAGTGAAAACCTACAAGTGGGAGAAAATGTTTGTAAATTATATATATTAATATCATAAGGCTGTAGTATCCAGAATATAGAAAGGACTATTACAGCTCAAGAATTAAAAAGGCAAATAACTCAATTTTAAAATGAGTAAAAATCTGAATAGACATTTCTCTGAAGATTTACAAATGACCGCTAAGAATTTGAAAAGATGCTCAACATCACTGCCGTTAGGAAGACACAAATCAAAACCACCATGAATGCCACTCTGCACCTACTAAGATGTCTTTAAAAAAATTTTTTTTTTGAGATGAAGCCTTGCTCTGTTTCCCAGGCTGGAGTACAGTGGTGTGATCTCAGCTCACTGCAACCTCTGCCTCCCGGATTAAAGCAATTCTGCCTCAGCCTCCTGAGTAGCTGGGATTATAGGCATGCAACACCATGCCTGGCTAATTTTTGTATTTTTAGTAGAGATGGCGTTTCTCCATGTTGGCCAGGCTGGTCTTGAACTCCTGACTTCAGGTGATCCACCTGCCTTGGCCTCCCAAAGTGCTAGGATTACAGATGTGAACCATCACACCTGGCCAATGTCGCTTATTAAAGGGACAGACAATAACAAGTATTGGAGAAACTAGGACTGTTCATTATACATTGCTGGTGGGGCTGCAAAATGGTGGCACCAACTAGGAAAACAGTTTGGCCATTCCTCAAAAGTGTAAAGTTATCATTTTATGACCCAGCAATTCTATTCCTAGGTATGTGTAAAAACATTGTCTACAAGAGAGTTGTAAATACATATCCACACAAAAACTTATACACAAATGTCCATAGCATAATTATTCACAATAGCAAAAAGGGGAAAGTAATCCAAATATCCAACTGAGGAAATAGGAAAGAAAACATGGCATATTCATGCAATGGAATATTATTTAACCATGAAAAGAATTGAAGTACTGACACATGCTATGATGTAGACGAAACCTGAAAACATTATGCCAAGTGAAAGAAGCCAGACATCAACATCTGATATGTGAATTTTTTCCCAGAACAGGCACCATAGAGAGAGAAAGTAGGTTAATGGTTGCCAAGGGCTGGAGGGAGGGGAGTATGAGGAGGGACTGCTAGTAGGGTGGGGTTTCTTTTTGGGGTGATAAAATGATTTGGAATAGGATCATGGTGATGGTTGTACAATTTTGTGGCTATAAAAAAATCCATTGAATTGTACACTTTGAAGGAAAAAATTTATGGTATGTGAATTACATCTCAGTTTTTAAAAAGTGGGTCAGTGTGCAGTCTGCACAGTCAGGCTCTAGTGTGGGTTTAATGTCTCAGGAAACCACTACCTCCCATGAGTCAAGCCTTTCTCAGCATCTCTTGGAGGGGACTCCCCCGTTCTTACCTGCTTTCTGTCTCAAGGGGGAAGTTCCAGGGTGGGGAAATCCTAGCGCTTCCCTGTGTGCACATGGGAGCCACCTGACTTCTTTTCTAGTGGTGCTATGTCCTGCTTTTTTGTGAAACCCCACCTCTCTTTTCCACAGGTTTGGTTCCGTGGCTCCAGATGGCCAGTACCGTTCTCCTGTTAGGAACAAGAGTGCAAGATTCAATGCCATGCTGGCAGCACTGACCCCTTCGAGATTAGCTGTGGCTTTCCAAGCTATGGGTGTCATGAAGGTAGCTGACTCTGATTTGAATTTATCTACTGTTAATTCTCTCTTGGCTCAGGGATGAGTAACAATTTCAGGAGCTGAGCTTCTTGAGCCACGATTGGTATAATATGGCCAGGGTTCCCGGTTAGATGCTGAGGAGTGCCAGGTGTCCATCCACGGGGAATATTTCTATGCCCTTCTTAAGAGGGGGGTCCCACCCATCTGGATCCCAGATGTGTGCTGCTAATCATGGGGGTGGAGCACAGGCGTTGTGCAGGAGAGATGACCAGGGAGAACGAGATGTTCAGAGCAAATACATCTGCTGGAGAAGCAGCTAAGGGCTGGCCCATGTGGGCAAAGGTTGGCATGTCTTGGTTGAGTTCCTAGGAGTGTTGATCCTCCTGTGTCTGTACAGGGTGTAACGTTCTCCATCACAGTCTGGAGGCAATGAGGCCGGTCCTCCAGGAGCCATCTCTGCCTCCCCTGCCCTGACTCTCCCATATATTGGTTTGGACAGAGGAGCCTGGAGAGCAAAGCTCTGGAAGGGCCTCCTTCTCCTCTCCAGGGCCCTAGCCTACTTTGTTCTCTGGGCCTTCTCTGTCTCTGCATGAAGGAAAAGCCTGCTTCAAGAAAGCTGCACTGAGCTTCGTGAAGCTGGAAGAAAAATTAAGACTCCCCAGGAATATACATCTGGGGCATGAGTCCAGCTTTTCCATCAAGAAGGAATAAATTTCATTCACCTGACTTTAGGCCTGACATCAGCCCGCAGTCATTAGAATAGCAGGAAAATCTTTCTTTACTCTCTTTGAGGTCGGCCACACTTCACAGACTGCCTGCCCTGACCCGGGCTTCCCCTTATGGTGGTGTTTCCTGCAAGGGGCCACAGCTGTGGCCATCAACATGTGCACTTGGGCCTGACCTCATGCCTGCCCGTGCATTCCAGTTCCTGTGCTTGTTTTGTGGTGGCTCTTTAAGTGGAGCCGGGTTGGTGTTCAGGTCTGAAGCCCCATGTCAGGAGGGGCCCAGGTCCCTTGGCTGAACTGTCTGATATTGAATGAGACCCCAGAGAGCCTTGCGGTGACGGTACCAGCACAGGCAGCATCAGAGTGCTGAGGAAAACTGGTTCCTCAGGTCTTCAGTAGAAGCCATTTCAGCCATCCTCAGGACTCCAGAGAGAGGCCAAAGTAGGAAAGCCAGGCAAGCCTAGAATTGCATGAAAGGGAAGATTGGTTAAACATCGGATGCAGGCTTAGCTGAAGCCATGATAGCAGTCTCTGCACAATATCCCCTCTAATTGCAGTAGCCTGTAGACCATCCTGTCTGAGGGGCCCTCTGAGGAGAGTGCATATCAAAAACATATGGTGGTCAACGGCTGGGGAGGCTGCTAGAAAACCCTGAGCTCTTGCTGGTTTTGGAGGGGGTGATGATGCATGAAGGACATCCATGTCATCAGCAGCCCTGCAGGGTCATTGAGGTCCAAGGGTGGAGTTGTGTGGGGCAAGGCATGGGGTGGTGCAGACCAGACCAGGCAGGGGTGACGGCCTTCTGAGAGGGCCTTGGTTTTAAATGTCACCAGATCTGGGAGTGGGTGGGGGTGATGTCTCAGGGAGAGGAGCCAGAATGGTGAGTTTGAAAAGGTTCCTGTTCTCCATTCTGCTGAACATCATCACAGGCCAGCCCCTGCCAGGCCCAGGAGAGTCTTGGGGGCCACATTGCATCAGTTCCTTTTACTGGTTGTCTGACGTGCAGATTTCATTCCTGGCAACACTGAGGCATGATCATGATTACGGGCAGGAAAGCTTTGGGCTCAAGTCTCATCCTGGCCATGACCAGCAATGGGGCTGTGGACAGGCCATAGTGCTCTCTAGGCCCCAGTTTCTTCGTCTGTGAAATGGGTCTTAGGATGGTGGTGAGGCATGAGTGAAGAATGTGTGTGCAGTGCTGGCCCAGAGCAATGCTCCATAGCTCGTGGCTGTTATTCGTGTGATGGTTGTTGCTGTTGTTGGTGCTCCTGCTGCTGCCACCATTGCTGTTACTGGGAAGACAGGAATTGGCTAAAGGAAGGGAAGACATGGGCTTTCCCATGAAAAAAATGCCTGGTATCCTGGCCTCCAGGTAACAAGGCAATATGCAATGTTTTGCAGAGGTGCATAGCATCCTTTGAATTTCCAGGTGTCTGAAGCAAACCATAGTAACCTGGAATCAGCACCTGCCCTGCCCATTCAGACCTTGCCAGGCGATGGGATTGTCAGTCAGTGGGAAGACCCTGCACGGAGCCCAGCAAGGTTGAGACTCTGCGTGGTCCAGGCACACTGCCGGACAGCGACCTGGGCCGCTGTGATCTCATCTCCAGCATCTCTGGCGAGGATGATCTCACCGGCCCTCTTGGCAGCTCTTCCTCTCCGATGGATCAAGCACATGACATATGTTTTCCCGGCTGAAACCTAAGATGGTCTTTCTCCTTCTGTTCTTGCTGAAGAGTGGAAAAACGGATCCCTTTCTCCTATGTGCATTCCTTGTGTATTAGAAAACTGTCACTGTGGCTCCCCACAGTGACATTCACTCAAGGCTGAGCATGCCTGGTCATTTTAAACTTTGCCCAAATGTCATATTTTTCATGGTTATCTTTCATTTTCATGACATTCCTCAGAACTTCTGAGTTTTCTCTTAAAGCTTTGACATATTGACCATCATCTAATTTGTGTCAGAAATACCAGGACAAATTAAATGATTAGCAAGAACAGGAGGAAAAGGGAGTGAACGTGTTTGGGAGAGCTGGCTGGGAGTTGGGGCTTGGGAGACCTTTGCAGCCTGTGCCGGGAGGCTGGGAAGCCTTTTCAGAAGGAGGAGGAAGCTGGGGCACCTGAGAGAGTGAGAAATATAAATGAGGTCTAGCCCACTCTCTGGGGTTGATTTTGCACAGAGGTAAATATTTTAGCTAAGACAAACTTATCTTGTAAATTGGGTGCTGCATAGTATTTGGGTCCCACCCCCATTACGTGTGATTCTGCAGCTCTGGGATGGGGTGAAGAATCTGCATTTCCGTGTTCCCAGGTGACACTGCTGCTGTGGGCTCTGATCCTTAAGACCCCTGCACAGAACATGTGGATATGGTTGTGATTAGCAAGAACAGGAGGAAAAGGGAGTTAACGCGTTTGGGAGAGCTGGCTGGGTGTTGGGGCTTGGGAGACCTTTGCAGCCTGTGCCGGGAGGCTGGGAAGCCTTTTCAGAAGGAGGAGGAAGCTGGGGCACCTGAGTGAGTGAGAAATGTAAATGAGGTCTAGCCCACTCTCTGGGCTAGAGACCAGCACTGTCTCAGCCCCCTTGTCACCCTCTGGGCCCCCAGGATCAAGGCCCAAGTTCTGTTCCTGTATCCATGATCCCTCATGACCCTCACTTCACCACCTCTCTCCATTGTCCTCTGTCCCTCTGGCCTCATTTCCGTCTCTCCCCTGTGCCACTGTGGGAGGGGGCTCACACATGCTGCCATCCTGCTAAGGAGGCCCCCCTTTTTCATGTACATTTCAGAGCTTGTATGACTCTCCTTTCTTCGGAAAGGCCTCAGTCTGTATGTGGTTCCTCTGTCACCTGTTCCCAAGGCACTGGACTCCTTGCTTATAGCATTTATTACAACTCATGTGTGTAACAACTCATGTGTAGTAGGTGGGTTCTAGCCTAAAAGCTCCACGCAGCCAGGGCCCTGCCAGCATCATCCACTGCTGTGTGTTCAGCTTCACACACAGGGCTGGGCACATAGTCGACACAGCAAATAGGAGCTGAAAGAGTGAATGAGGTCTGAATCAGGATTCACATCCAAAGCCCCTGCCCTGGCATAGCTCTTAGCAGAGGGAAGCCCACAGTATGTGTTGGTTCTTGTGCTCCCACATTCCCAAACCCCCTACCAGTTCCATGTTGGTGGGAAGGAGGATGTTGCTGTCTCTTTGATCTAACTCCATGTGGTCCTTCTGTCCAGAACCGGGAGTCTCCTTTCTTTCTTCCTCTCTGTCCCAGACACTGCTCCTCATGGTATGTGCTTCATGTTTCCTTGCTCATGCACTGTACAGTAAGCAGGCACTGGGGTCATGCTCACCTACACTTGGCAATGTGGCCCTGGTGGTCTGGGAGTGTGCTCAGGGCTGGGGCTGCGGAGTCACAGGCAGCGGCTGAGCTGCAGAGCCGCACACTGAGTGCAGCCAGCATTCTGGGCTGTCTTTTCAGGCACGTGGGTGCTGGGCGGCAGACACAGTCAGCCAGTCCTGAGAGCCTGAACGACCATCTCCAAGTTGTACAGGGACCCACATGTGAATTGGGGTAGCTCTTCCTATCCCCAGGAGCTGCAGGGAGAGCAAAGGGAAGAAACTGGCTTCAGGGGATTCTCAAACCCAGTGATAGACATGCAATCTTTTCCTACAGGGTGCATTGTTGGGTGTGAATGACAGGTCCCAGCAAGGCATGGGAAAGTCTCTCCTGCTGTTGATGGGGATTTGAAATGGGATACTGTGTCCTTGAGTAACCTTTTTGTGACCTTCTTACTGCAAGGGTTCATGGACGATTCTAGCAATGAAGAGGAGGTTGAGGGCATCCAAGTCGCCTTGAGAGCCAGCAGGGGTTGGTCAGCGGCCAGCATGGACCCTTCTCACCACACAGGGAGTGGTGGTGTGGCTCTGTGGGCCTGTGCTGTGTTGAGTGGGCACAGCAGGCTGCATGCTGCCACTGCTATGGGGTCTTGCTCAGGGTTGCCCCTTCACCCAAGCTCTGATACAATGCCAGAGAGGTCCCAGTATCGATAATCCTCACTGGGGTGTCCAGCTCCTGGTCATCCACCTCTCCACCACTCTGCCTGTGTGCTTCAGCTACTCACTGGAGCTGGGGCAGATCAGCAGGTGTCAGAGAATGACATTCTGTCTGTCCTAATGGCCACAAACCAGGTGCATGACACTTCCTCCTGAGCAGGTTACTCAGCCTCCTCACATGAATAATCTCAATGTTTGCAGCCACTGCCATAACACGACCAGGCGTTAGTCT